TGGTTCCTCCATTTTGTGGCAATGTGGCATCAGGGCTAGATCAGAATTTTATATCCCCTAAAAATGCAACAGCAACCTTCATTTCTTCATTTCTTCCTTGGTGTGTTTCCAAACCCCTGACTGTTTTGTTTTAAGAGCTGATGGAGCTTATTTAGATAGGAAGTCCCATTTGATGTTTTGCTTCATTATTCAGTGTTAAGCATTAAGAAGGAGAGTCAATTCTTTTAGAATAGAATATAATTTTTTATTGGCCAAGAGTGATTGGACACACAAGGAATTTGTCTCCGGCACATAAGCTCTCAGTGTACATACAAGCAACAAATGAGAAATCAGGATCATAATCATAAAATACAATCTTCATAAATGATAAGATACAACACTCTGTGATAGTCATAGGATACTAAATAAGCAATCAACATAAATCATACTAGAATCTATATAAATAAAAATATAAATGTTCGTTTGTTCAAAATCTTAAATCTCCGAAAGTTCTTCACTGATCGCTTTGAAATTTTGACACAACGTTGCATTCGAATACACGCGTGTTTTTATATACCTATATTATATAGATGTCACACCTGTGACAGGTAAAACATGCTTTTTTGAAAAACAGCACCATCTGTTGGACGTAAAAGCAACACATGTTTTTACCAGATTGAGCCACAGCAACGCGTGGCTGGGTACAGCTAGTACTAAATAAAAACAATCAATATAAATCTTAAGATACAAGCAACAAAGTTATAATCATGGTGTGCCATGCCCTGTAGCATTGTCTTGAGGGAAGAAGTTGAAACAGTTTATATCCAGGATGTGAGGGGTCTGTTGATACTTTCACAGCCCTCCTTCTGGCTCATGCAGTATACAAGTCCTCAATGAAAGGCAGGCTGTGTGCAATTGTTTTTTCTGTAGTTTTAACTAGCGGTTGACGACTGTGTCTGTCTTGTTTGGTTACAGTGCCAACCAGACAGTTATAGAGGGGCAAATGACAGACTCAGTAATTCTTTGTAGAACTATGTCAACAGCTCCTTGGGCAGTCTGAGATTTCTGAGCTGGCCTTGTGCTTTTTTGATGGCATTTTTGATGTTAGGTATGCATTCTAAGTCTTGAGATATTATAGAACCTAGAAACTTGAATGTCTCTACTGTTGATACTGTGTGGTCTAGTATTGTTAAGAGGTGGTAGACTTCTCCTAGGAGGGCTTTTCCTAAAATCTACTATTATATCTACAGTTTTGAATGTGTTCAGTTCAAGATTGTTCTTGATTGTTGTCTCAAATGACACCAATCACTGTTGCATCATCTGCAAACTTCAGTACTTTAACAGAGGGATCCTTTGAGATGCAGTCATTGGTATATATGGAGAAGTGGTGAGAGCACACAGCCGTGGGGAGCTCCTGTGCTAATTGTACAGGTAACTGATATGATTTTGTCTAGCTTCATTTGCTGCTTCCTATCTGTTAGAAAGCTTATTATCCACTTACAAGTGTGGTCAGGCACAGCTAGTTGAATTTAGTGAGAAGAATATCTGGAATTATGCTATTGAATACCGAACTGCTGAGCTGAAGTTTATAAAAAGGACACTTGCATACTGGTAGGTCCTTGGAGATTCAAGATATTGTAGGATGTGGTGGAGAGTCATATTAATAGCACCATTTGCTGATCTATTTGCTCAATAGGAAAATTGCAAAGGGTCTAACAGTGGATCTGTGATGGTTTTCAGATGGGCGAGCACTAATCTTTCAAAGGTTTTCATAACTACGGACATCAGAACAATCAGACTGTAGTCATTCAGCTCCTTGATGGAGAGCTTCTTCTTTTATCCAACTTTAGTATTGTACTGTAAACTGATGACACAATCAACTCTTCAATGACTATATTATTGCTGCCAGTGATCAGATGGCAATATCACATCATGTCCCTTTGGGTGGGATAATGAGACAGTCCATCAAATCACAGTCACTGAATATTTCTATGCTGAGCCTATCTGTGCAACTCATCATTGCTGGTTGGAGTTCATGAGAATCAATTCAAAACATCTGGAGCATTAGTAATGCTTAGTAATATGCTATCAAACCTGGTGCTTGTATTCACAAAGTCTTGCCATTTTGACTTGTTCTTAGTATTAACTTGTAATTCTTCCAGTGACACTGTTTTCCTCCTTACAATTGATCTCTTAATGTCCAACACTTTGTACATCCTTACAAAATTACTTACCTATATCATAAGTTAATCAAATATGCAGCCTATCATTGTTATTATTGCAGTTGTTCATTGCTGCCCTCTTCTAGTTGCTCTTGTACGTAATTTGACTATGATGCATTAAGAATTCAGCATTTTACTAAGCGAATCAATTATTTTTTCTTCATCTTCTTCCTGGGATTAGTGAGATGATCTGTATTAATGGTGACATAACTAATACGTAAGTCATAATTCCGTAGCATGTTATGACTTGTGGTTGCGCTTAGATAATAGTCCTTCCCCAATCTGATATCAGAAATGGACACCAATAACAACCATGTTTCCTAATCAAAGGAACTATGGGAGTTGAAATTGAATATATTTAGAGGACAACAGACTGATGTAACCTGAGCTATACATTAAACAACTTGATAATTTTCTCCTCTGGTTCTTCTTTTGTAGCTCCAGTCTGGGAGGCAACAAAAACAAATTTCTTCCAGCAGAATCTGCCCATATTAGCGTAGCCTGCTTAAACATTTATCATCTTTGGAGATACTCCTCTAAATTTCACTCTAGTTGAGCCAACTAAGCCATATACTAAGGTCTAGGTCAGTGGTTCCCAACCTTTTCTATACCCTGCATCCCTAGAACGCTTCTGATATATTCTCGCACTCCTTACAAAAGTTCGAAATAACGGCAACGAATTATGCATATACACTATAATTTTGAAAGCCCAAGTTTTTGTACCCTTTGTTTCACAAAGGGCTGGTAATCACTATTAGCATCTTGAGCAATTAAAAGACACAGTACAAATATAAATAGATAAATAATACTGTAGAAATTTCGGAAGTCAGAAAGTTATGTATTACCATCTTCAGTAAATGACTATACAACAGAGATGAAGTGACTCCATGCTTGAAATTCACTACACAATTGCTATATAATATTTGTAGGTTATATTTACTTCGACATATTTGCAGTAACATCTTCAAGATAAAAAGATAAAAGGTCCCAGGGTTTATTACTGTAAGTACTTTTTCTCTGAGTATAATTCCTTACCCATAATATGAAAATGTCTACTGTATAGACATAACATTGCTTGTTCCAATTTGTCATATATCATATTAAAAAAATATAACTTGCTTTTTATGATACAAAGACCGTGGATAATATTAATCCATTCCACTATCTCTTTCCCTTGTTAAAAAATAGAAAGAATGGACAAAATGTACAAGATGAAAAAAAGGTTAAATTATACTGATAGCAAAAACATATGACCAATAAAATAATACAGTGGAAAAAGCAAAAAGACCACATTTCTGGTTGAGAGCCATGGTGAATTAAGCTTTTCTCCTTGCAGTGGGATAGCATTACAGTGGAGTTGGCAACTGTATCCAGCTGCTAAAATTCTCTTCAAATTAAGGAGAGATCTTTGAGATTGCCATGTGAATTCCGTATAGCTTCTCCTTATGAGTAGACCACAGAATCAAAATTGTTGTGATCAGCTTATGAGTCGAGCGGTTGCAAGTTTTTGGAGAAACCATCTTTGCTCACTGTCATGAAACCAGCCTTTAAGGACATGAAAATTTCATTTTTTTCCCAATCACTTTGAATTTGTTTTGTCGTTATTGTTGTTTTGAAGAATTAATACCCTTCAGAAGGCAAGTTATGGTGCATTCATCAAATGAACTGCCTTCTTAGAGAAAAAAAATATGTAAACATGATTTTGAAGTTGTTGAAAAATATTACCTTTTTGATTAAACAGCTAAAGTATGCTTAGAATATTGATTTTGGAAAGTTAACAATGGATTAACGATTTAGATGGACTTGGAATTCCAAAATAGTTTCCTCCCCTGGGAAATTATAATTATTTGGGTTTTCTTCAATCAAAATTAGAAAATGGAATTCTGAAAGTTGAACACTAGGGGAAGCTAGAGTATAACAAGGGACACAATTAAATAAATGAAATAAAATATTATAACAGTGAGTTCTCTGGGGAAAATTTATGAAAAATGATCTTTGAAATTTTTAGAAATGATGGGTAGGTGAATTGTTAAGGAATAAAGAAGAACAAGTTACTCAGGATAAGTTTGAAATCAATCTTAATATGGATAGAAATGTGGAAAGAATGAGGAGGATACAAAAAGAAATGCAATGGACTTGCAAATGAAATAGGATGATGTTTCATTGCCTAAAGGAGATATATAACTACCAAACCAGAAAAGAGATATGGATAATTTTATAGGATACAAAAAAGATATCTATTAAAGTCTTGAAGAACTTGAGAAATGATTTTTAAAAAGGATGAACTTTCTCCCCTGGATGTACAAAGGATGGTGGTTAATTTTTTTAAAAAAAGAACAAAAAAGATGACAAGAAAACTAGCTCTGTGACTCTGTTTGAAGGGATTAAGAATTAAGATAGTTAAAAATATAGGGCAGGAATAAAGAGCTGTCTTATTTGATCAAGCTTAAGATAAATAATCAATCATAGCTGATGTCCTTTATTGGACTTTTGCTGATAAGAAACAAATGATGAGGATTTTGGATTTTGTTTTTAGTTAAAAGATAAGATTTGGAGTGAAGAGAGTATATGGTGTAATTTAAGACATAGCAATAAATTACACTATTTAAATTGTACTTGTTGAGATGAAGGGAGAGGTACTTTTTTCTTCTTTTTCACACTATTTTCTTTTTCCTTTTTTAATTCTTATATTTTTGTAGTTTGTGTAGTTTTTATTTCTTTTTTTGTAATCTTTAATAAAATTATTTTAAAATTAATTTTATTTGAAAAAAAGCACAAGGACCATAGCAAATGATGCAAAATCAATTCGTGGTTTATTTCACTGAGAAACACAAAATCTCTTTGCATACGAATCTTCGCCATTTAAAAAACTTTATTTAGAACTATTAACTATCACATAGTTCTTTCCCGATTTTTATTTAAAATGAAAAGCAGTTTTGGGAGCTGCAATAGAAAACAGAAGGTGGAATAGGAGTTACTGCTGAGACCTGTATGTTTTCCACAATAGGTAAAATAATAGAATGGGGAAATGTTTGAATGAATAGATAACTGGAGGAGAACAGTTAAGCAGCATTTTAGTTCCCCACCGAAACTTCCAAGGCTATTTTTTATTTAAAAAAAAAATCAGGAAAAAAACACACCCCACCATATGTTGGATTGAGTTCAATTCTTAGGAGTCAATCTGTAGTACACAGAACAAGGCAGAGGTACAGAAATACGTGACTGGGAGTCGTACAAAAGATCACATCTCTACATTTGAAAGTCACTTAATGCAGCATTCATTTTCTTAAAAATGTATAGGAGAGGATTTTTTCATTTAGAAAACTATTAGCAGCTGCATATTTCTTCAAGAAACAGAAAAATCAGGACATTCTGCTATTTTCAGATCCACTTACTCTAAAAAGACCCTATTATTTCATAGCTCAAATTTCATCAGCTGCATGGAAGCTCCTTTCAATGGAATTATGCTTGAAAAATGTATAGTTGAATAGTTCAAATAGTTCTGGGTTCTCTTTAATAGAAAGCTGTTTCTTTTGGGTTCTAATGCTATCCAGTGCTTGCAAAGGATTCATTATGACCCTGAAAGAAAAAGAAATAAATTATATATTTAACTATTTTAAAATATCCTATTTATTCACTAAACGTACTGTATATTCTGCCTTGAAATTTGCACCTTCAAAGCTGTCACCAGTCAAAGCGTAAAAAAACTCAAATTAGTAGTACAAGAAGGAAGGTGTGGAGAGACCTGACCTATAGAACTGCCGAGAGTCAGCATAACCTTTGTGATCACTATGGTATATTTGCATGGTACCCTTGGGAGTTTCTAAATATGCAGTGACCAAATAATCGTTTGGCTGCTTGAATTTGATTATGTTGATCCAATCTGATTATGGATCAGATATAAAGATCCATAATCATTATAATCATAATGATTGTAAAATGGATTAGTCACATGATTGACCTGATTTTAAGACTTTTTTGTGGCAGTTGTAAAGCAAACACCATGGTTGTTAAGCAATCCAATGGTTTGTTGTGGGAGCCGGTTTTTGGCAAAACTGTTATAAAAAATGGGACTGCGACATGCTGCCAATAGCTGTAAAGGTGGTCATTTTGCCAAGAGCTTGAAATATGCTCACATCACTGGGGGGGGGAGGAGAGCCTGCTACGTAATAAGTCTCCTTTCTCAAGTAGGTTGTAGGTTTGAATAATTGCTGAATGGCTCATTGTAAATTAAGGATTATCTGTATTCAAAAAATCTCAAGTTTCAGTTCCTTAGTATCCAAAAATGTTGAAATATATGGTATAGGGTTGTTGAAACTAATGGCAATGAAGTCAGAGCCAAATAAAATGTTTATTGTCCAGGACATGAACCTATGACCCTCCAGATGCTTCTGGACTAGAACTTACTGCTGCCTTAATAATTAAATGCTGGAAAGTGTAGTTTAATAATCCTGCCTCTTCCCCATGGGGATAGGAGAACAAGTAAACATTGCTAAGTAGATGAAGGAATGTAAACTCAAATCTTCTTGCCCTGTTGTATAGTTTTTAAAATTAATGCAACAGAAACAGAGCCTAAAGACTGATGTAGTGAGGTCCTCTTTTCTTAAACCTCCAGTGCCTCCCAATATGTAGAATGTTACATTTCCATCTCAGATTACCAGGCAGCCACCCTCGTTACCTGTTCTTCCTTTACCTTAAGAATAGGGACTACTTCTCACTCTTGGGTCATTAGCTCTTGTGGTCTGGCTGTTCATCTGTGAGATCACCAGCAAATCTTGCAAGTTGTGTTGCTGAACTGTTGGCTTCTGCAGGCTGAAGTGAATATTATAGTATTTTGCTGGCTTCTTGCAAGAAGCACTTCTGGTCCCTGTGATTTCTCTGGGAAGGGAAGCACTTTCTGTGTAACATTATGAAAAAAGGGGGGGAAAAAGCATATGGTGTGATAGATCATATCCAGAAGGATGCCAACCCCACTTTTCTTGGATTCAAGCAAGAGTTAAGAAGAATGAACTGGCAAGAAGGTAAGTGGGCTACTGTTGCAAGGACTGTGGAAGCATGTGAGCGCTCTGTTCTGTATGCTTCATCATTCACCGGGCTAGGGCAAGAATCGATATATCATATAGCTTTATTATTACTAGTCTATTTCCTTCCCTTTCCTCCCTATTATCAGCTGCAAGCATATATTTGGTGTGCCTCCTCAATCTTAGCAGTGTTTCAAAGAAAAAGTATATCACTGCAAACAATAAACTAAAAAAACATAAGCCTACAAGCCAAGCTCCCCCTTCTCTCTGCAAACACAACTGTGGTAAGAAAGATTTGGAGTAACTTTCCAAAAGCTGTCACCAAATGTCATGCTATGGCTTTTATCATCTATNTCCCCTAGGCCAGTCCCGCTTGCTGGAACAACCACGTCTTGAGGGCGCGGCGGAAGGAAGGGAGATCAGGAATCACCCTGATCTCTGGGGGCAGTTCGTTCCAGAGGGTGGGAGCTCCCACAGAGAAGGCCCTCCCCCTTGGGGTCGCCAGCCGGCACTGTCTGGCCGACGGTACCCTGAGGAGACCCACTCTGTGAGATTGAACATTTACCACATCTAACTTTAATGCTATTATTATTTTATTAATTTTATTAATGCTATTATTTATTATTATGTCTAGAAGGCATTAATTCAAAAGTACAAGAAGCTGTGGAAACTATGGAGATCATATAATTATGATTAGAAATTGTATAATTTATGTTCAAAGTCAAGAAGCCTCAAAATCTATGTTCTTATGAAATTCTTCTGCAAGGCCATAGGGTGAACTTTCCGGTCCTTATACTGTGGTCTCACCTCTTTCCCCCGGTATATAGCTTAGTACCACTTATCTTATCTTCTAAGTCAGACATGTCAAACACAAGGCCCGGGAGCCGGATGCGGCCCGCGAAGTGGTTTCATGTGGCCCACGAAGCCATCCTGGAAACAGTGAGGGAACGCCCCTCTCTGCCTGGCCCAGGCTGTCCGGGAGCCAATGTACAATTTTGTGGTGGCCATCTATGCTGAAACGCATTCAGTCTTAGCTCCACAAGGCCGTCTGGAAACAGCGAGGAACCAGCTCCTGCAGGTTGGGGGCTGGGCGATATTGCACAGGTAATGTTGACTCTCACGCTGCTCATGGCATCCCCTCCCCCAGAGCCCACCAAGCCAGATATGTGAAGTAAGTGAGGACCATGTGCTGGCCCCTTCCAGCCGATGGTGCATTTCTTCATTCCTCATGAAGGGTGACACCTCCCCAGCTGCATTTCTTGCCTGTTTTTCTCCCTCCCTCATCTCAAATATTTTCCCACCTCTGTACTTAGGAAGGAAGGAAAGAAGGAAAGAAGGAAAGAAGGAGAGGGAGGGTCTGAGGGAAGTCCTGCCTTAGTCCTGCCCTGCTGCCCTTTCACCATCCCCTTGCCCCCTCCTTCTGGTCTATCCTGGGGATCTCCCATCCTATTGCTAAGGAAACTTTGGATACAAAGCTGGGTGTTCTATCCCAGCCTATTGCCGTCCTTGTTAGAGGCACAAGGACCAAACCCCTGCTGATACAATAGGCTGGAAACTTTAAAACAAAACAAAATCCCTTTTATTTGGGTGACAATCCTGTCAATAAGTCCAAAACACAAACAGCAAACCTCAAGTTCAAAGGAAGGAAATAGTCCACAGGAACACGTTGCAAACAAGNATCTATCTATCTATCTATCTATCTATCTATCTATCTATCTATCTATCTATCTATCTATCTATCTAGGCAATTCACTAAATAGCGTGCTGGCAATTGGAAAAACTACTTGACTTTTTAAAATAATGTAACATTTATTTTTCTGACAAAGGACAGAAAACCTGCAAATCTAAGCCTTAATATGCTTTACATTTTATGTGAGCAATCCCTAATAAGGAAATAATTGATGGCCATAATAAGAGATCAAAACCCAGCTGTTCAACTGATAACTATTTCTAGGGCCTTGAAACCAGGGAAAATAAACTTGTTCTCTTGGAAGACTTCTGCCGACAACCCCCCCCCCCCCCCACACACACACAATATGTATTTGTTTATGCCATATCCTTTCTTGTGGACTAGAAGAGGTAATATTGTTGAAGAACTGATACAATAATTACAATTTAATCAGAAGTAATATTCTCAAAACCCAAGAAAAAGCTTCTATTTCAAGATAAGCATGCATACAAATGGTGAAATCAACCCCTCCCTTTTTTTTACAGATCCAAAGTTGATTAATACAATAGCCAAGAAAATGGCTCTCACTTGCTCGATTGGTGGAGTGTTGAGATGGGAGTTGACAGAGTTGTTTTAATTGCTTTTCAGATGCTGTAAAATTTTTGCTGAAAAATTCTGAAATAAAGAAAGATGTTTTTCCCTTGCCATTCTCAGAAAAGTTCTTTCTGATTGCCTTGACTGCTGAGTGTGATGAAGCTTTTTCTCCAACATGATACTGAAAAGACATTTCACCAAATGGGTGGAAATTTTTAACAGTTGGCGTTTCACAGACACCTCTGTCTTTTGCAGTTCTGCTCCTCACACGATGTTTGCTCATTGTTGGAAAATGTGTGTCAGGATGACATGAGTTTTGTTTACTGCATGCTTTTGTAAATCCATTTGGTGGTTGATACTGGTAAGAAAGAGAAGGATGCTCAGGGATACATTGATAACCCAGCTGTTAAGAGATCTAGAGAATGTGGTAAATAAGTATAGGCAACTTATTTTCAGATGGGGGCCACACTTTTTGGAGGTGGATTTTCCAAAATATTTGAACAGAACATCACAGTAAAGGCACAACATCACAGAATCAGTCTCAAATTTTTGGCACTTCACCTTGAGATGCATGTTGGATTTAAATAAAATAAGTTTGTAAAATGTAATGATACATTATTTCATTATTATTTTTAAAATCTAACTTTGAGGCCATCAATTTTGGTGGTACAATCATAGACAGAAAGATGCAAAATAGCATCCCATTCTTTTTTGAAAATTGTATGTGGCCGTGTTTATCTTAAATATATAATGTGACTACACTAATTTTTTATCTCAGTGATTAAATCAAGGTAACCTTACATTCTACTAAATATTAGTATTCATTCATTCCAATAGGTAGACTTAACAAAAAAGGGACAGCCTAAAACCAAAGTGCAATGTGTATAGTCCCTTTATCTTTGATTTCCAACCTTTACTGCTTTCACAATATGAAGCCAAGACAAGAAAAAGATCCTGAACAATTTTTGGTTTAAAAGTTTTCTCTATGTTTGTTGCCTGGTGTGGTGTTGTGATCTCAGAAACAGTGCAGCAATAATGTTGCCATACCTGTTGATTTGTAACTTACTTTTGTTTTAATGTTCATATTAGTTGCAGAATGGTGACTATTAATGGTATTCTTCAGTTCTGGCCTGGAATTAGATTGTTCTGGAGTGCTGGATGAATTCTGCCATGTCAAATCAGGCACAGAAGTGTAAGGCCTCACTGGATAATTTGCAGAATACTCCGGGCTGTCTGTTTCAGGGCTGTTATTTGAGGAAATACTTGAAGATTCACAAGTCACTTCTTTCTTGGGCTCTTGTTCATCCGAAAAATGTTCAAGCAGGAGAGCAGCCTCAGGTCCAGATTCTAAACAAATCTGAGTCTGTGCAAAAATGGAAAAGCAGCCCCAAACAATATTATAATAGTGATGGCCAGTAAATTCAGAGCAATAAGTGTACATATATGTGTATGAGATCAAGCCTGCTTAGGTTAGGTTGAATTTCATTGACATTGACAATATGCACAAATGTATACATTAAAACAACATCAAAAACATAAAATTATGACTTTTCAAAAATATTATAAGTGCTGAATAAATTGCAAAGATGCAATTGTTTGGTTACACTCTGTTCTCATTACTGTAAAAAAGAAGTTTGAAGATTATTTTTTTAAAAGCTTGGTATATAACTTTAATTAGATTTGGAGGCTGAAAAATATTTTGTTTTGTCACATAAATTTAAGCAATTTGTTCATTGCTTAAAAAAAATTATATCTTGAATTCCAAGTTCAAGGAAGATACACTCACCAGATCAGTATAAGAATCAAAAGTAGAGAAAGCCTTAACTTTATTTGTTGAAGCTTCACTCCAGCTAATCTGGTCAATGGTATAGATTGGTGGAGCTCAGGAACATCTGAAGGGCCACATTTGCTCATTCTTGCAGGAAAAAAACCAATAGCTCTTCATGAGATTTAACTGACTGTGAAGGGAAAGCTTCACAAGCATAACCTTCAACTGAAATCTGCTTTTCTCTCTCTCACATCTCCTTCCCAAAATCTCAAACTACTTCTTAAGCAGTATTTTTTGGAATACTACACACAGCTTTCCCTTCTTATTAAAATATGTCAGAAAATCACATTGTTTCTCTGATTATCTTAACCATTTAGACATATAATAAACTTCAGTCTTATTATGAATTGACTAAATTGCATTAAAATGAAAAAGGCCAAGTAGAGAATGGATTAAGATAGAATAAGCATATCCCAAACCCTAATATACAGATTTATTTATTTATTTATTTTATTTATTAATTGTATTTATATCCCGCCCTTCTCCTTTCGGACTCAGGGCGGCTGACAAATGATAAAAAGCTAACATATTACACCTAATTTAAAATTTGATTAAAATGAAATATTTAAGAATGTCAAATTTAAAAGTAATTAAAACCCCTATAAAATCCCCTAGGCCAGTCCCGCTTGC